ATGTATTCCTGTCTGATGTATACACTTCAGAACAACATGTTAGAATAAAAACCGATCTTTCACAAAAAAACGACTCCAAAAAGCTGATATTTTTATCGCTGTAATGTTTTCTGATGTCAAATTCCACTGTGGGACACATCTGGAGGAGACGTCCCTGCTTTGTTTGGCCTGTGTACCCTCAGGAATACATAACTTGAGTTTCTTTCAGCAGTCCACATAAACTCAGCCTGATATGGCAATTACCTCGTGGATATTTAAGCCTCGCTGACTGTAACAGCTGGAGAAGAACAGATGTTACATAATGATGTGAAGGCAGTGTTTGGATGTATCCATCCGGGCTACATAGACATGCACACACATTGATCAATAACAGTAATGTTGCATTACTACGTTCACTTTTGGCAATACATTTCTCTCCTAAATGTGGTTTCATTTTACGTTATGCTTTACTGGTTGATTTGTTTGTTGTCCAAGTTGTTTCCATGTTTAATCAAATTGGAAATTGTGATAGCAACTCCTGAACAAAGAAGCACAATGTTAAAAACAAACAAAACAAATCTAGATTATGGAATTAGATATGGAACATATGCAAGATGAATATGTAACACTTACTTAAAACACAATATAATCATTTATATATGCACAAGTAGCCAAGGTTCTTTTTCAAGGAGGAGTGGAAGAATGAAGCTAGAGGAACACAGATATATCTCTATCGTAAAGATAATAGACACATTGCCAGGGTTTCGTGGGAATGCAGGACCCTAACTCAGTACGAAACAAGAGGTCAAAGGTGAGCTTTTATTATAAAAAAAAAGCAGATGACAAAGAAAAACAAAGAAAAACAAAATAAATAAATGTCGAAATAAAACAGGAAGCTAATCCAGTGGTTCTCAAACTTTTTTTGTCGGGCTCCCCCAATACAAATAGTCAGGCTCAGTGGCGGCGCCAGAGATTTATTTTGGCGGTGCAGTGGGTTAGCTTGACGTTTCATAGAGGGTGCTCAAACATTTAGGGTTTCCCATTAATGTACCGGGCGCTACAGTGGAATTTTCTACTGCAACAATCCCCACGCAGATACTCAGTGTACCCGCGACTGTTACAATGAAGGCTCGATAATCAGCTCACAGCATATAGGTGTAAGCAGGGGTAAGGTGCTATTTTTACAGGTGGTGTGTGGACCTAATATTCTCTAGGGGGGTCCTCTCCTCCTCTAGGGGGGTCCTAGAGGAGGGGGGCATGCTCCCCGGGAAGATTTATTTTTAAATATTGAAGTTAAAAGCATCAATCTGGTGCACTTTGAGAGCAAAATGAAGAGATCTATGGATACATCTCTCAACACCCATATGAAGCAGAACTGTAAACAGATTTTATTTTTCTTTATGGATATTTTACAAATCACCCTTTTAAACTTTATTCTTTTTTTACTGTCATATAGTATTTCATACCTGTTTTTCATTTATTCTCTTATTTTTTTATAACTATAATGATCATATAAACGTGTGCCTCGGAAATAATTGTTTACATTAATGGTGACCAAAACGTTTGAGACCCACTGAGATAACACTGAGAGAGTCCTTTAGCTCACTGAGTCTCTCAGTCTGACAGGAGAGGACTCTCCTCCACTTTGTTGTTGAAAAAACTCCTTATATCCGTTAGCGTAGCTCGCTAGCACCAGAAGCTAACAACAACGATCTCCGGTACCGGTGCGCTCTCTCTCTCTCTCGCTCACGCACGCACACAAAACGGCTCGTTCCACACACACACAGAGCCGAGCTTTAATGAAACACAGAGACCCAGACGTAATAGTACTGTACTGTATCATATTATTTTCGAATCAATATTTTTTTTAATTATGATTTCTTTTTTTTTTAATAACCATTTTTCCTCCTGGTCTCTCGCGCCCCCCCTGGCATGCCTCTGCGCCCCCCAGGGGGAGCGCGCCCCCCACTTTGAGAACCACTGAGCTAAACACACACAAAACTAAAATCATGACACACATGATTCATCTCTATTCACTTATTCAACCCTAGTGAAACCTAGTGTCTTTCCACTCCTTAAACTAATTCACGCTGAAGAGAAATAACCAAAAGGAACAAAACAAACCATTTAGAGCTCTGAAAAAATACAAAAATATAAAGTAAATGTTCATCTACGTGGTGTTTTTTGCCTATATGTGGATTGTTCAGTTTATCTGTTGATGAGAGAGATGATGAAGGAGTCCTCTGGTGAAATGCTCCTCCTTCTTCTCCTCCTCCTCCTCCTCCTCCTCCTCCTCCTCAGCTCTTCTCCTTCTGTTGCAGGTTGCAAAGTGGATCACCAAAGAGTCCCTTTGTAGACATTAGCAGGAGGAAGGAAGAATACTCCAGCTCAGCTCTTCAACACACTTGTTAACTTTCTGGAAACAAACACAAACTGGGCTGAAGTTCTCGGACCCCCAGCTGACACATTCAGCTGAGGAACTGATGGCTTCCTCTCTCCACTCTTTCTTTACCAAAGAAAATCTGACTGTGTTTCCCCTCTGCGACCCCACCACTACCTTCTGCTGGAATTCGCTCACATTAAACTCACTCTCATGTTTTTCTTTTTGGGTGGCTTACACATACTCACATGCATTTATCACATGTTTTTAAATGAAGCTGCTATGGATGATTGCCAAAGGTTTAAAGACAAAATCAAGATAATCTTCTCCAAATCAAAGTGAAGCATCTCAGATTAAGTGAAGTAAAAAAAGAAGCTGTAATCAACATATTCAAAATGACGGATCTCAGATTTGATTGGTTACCATGTGACTATTCTTCCAGGTATTTCTGCAGCACCAACCCATATAGTCCGTGCAAGGAATTTAACACTTCTCATAGAAAATGAAAAGCTGGCGGCTCCATTCCATTCTGTGTTGTTTTACCCACCAGGTCAGCCTCTAAAATCATTGATTGGAACGTGGCCCAAAGTGCAACATGCCCACAGAGAGCAGTAAAACAATGTTTCTGTGTTATTCATACATGATGAGGAACATATGGTCTAGCTGAGCTCAAATTAATAATGAGGGGAAAATAGCAAACGTCGTCATTGTAGCCTTATTAAAGCTGCAAATTAAGATAATACTGATACTAGTCATTGGTGTCGACCATTGTAGTACCTTCAACATTCTTGGGATTTAATTCAAATAAACGGCACAGATTTCTATCAGGGCTGCTCAGTGTGTGTCTCCAGAGATGCACAGTGCATCAGCTCAGATAAATGATGTTCATCTTCCACACTCCTGGAGGTGTGGAGCGTGACCGCAGCATGATACGGTGCTTTGGGACTGACGATCTCCAGCCGGCATCCAAAAATCATGAAGTAATGACAAACAACCGGCCCATAAGAGTTTATTATTTGAAGAGCCTCCACCTAATGAGAAACAGCAGGACGAAGGGAGGCTTCCTGCTCCATAAATCAGGACACAGCCTGAAATGACGTCAAACACTGTCTGTAGGAACATTTGTGATAGTGGCAATACAAGACCAGCTACTCACTGAAGGGTGTAAACACACCAACACCTGTCATGATCCAAACATGTTGTTGTTGTAAAATGTATCCTTTCAATATTAGGGCTTTGTAGTTTAGAGAGGGGGAGGGAGACACTATGAAACCCCTCTTTATTATAGCGAAATTGGACCTCTGCATTTAACTAGTACTAGGAGCAGTGGGTAGCTAATGTACAGCACCCGGGGAGCGGTGGTGGGGGGGTTCAATGCCTTGCTCAAGGGCACCTCGCCAGTGACCAGGAAGTGAACCGGCAGCTATCAGTCCACACTGGTCCGATTAAGACTTGAACCGGCAACCCTTCGGTTCAAAGAAGGTAAACAAAACAATAACCACAAAACTTCCTCAATTGATGATTTGTTATACTGTATGTACGTTATTTAAGACTTTTGATATGCAAACAATGCATTATCTCTCATACTAAATAAGGCACATTTATTTGAAAATGTACTAACATTTGTTTTTCTTTCGCAAGTCTGTAAGAAGACACGTCCCCATTCACATTTCTATAATCTTGTGCACATGTCGATACATGTTCACTAAAGTTTACTGTAATAAGTCTCTCCTGATGGAACTAGTTTACACTTTCTACACTGTTGACTGCAGTTGGTTTTAAGGTTTCACAACTGTAATTGTTAGCTTAGCTTGTTTCTCCGATAACGCATTTCCACACGTCCTTGGTCAAATCCTCCATGCAATTTAAATGTAGTTAATAAACAACCAAATCTGAAAAAGTGTCTTTATTCAAAAGAATTATGTGCTTTTATGTTTTTAAACATTTGGCCAAATATTTAACATTGTATGGTCCTTTCTAGAAATGTACACACAGTACAGTTACATACACAACCTCTTAATGTGAAACGGAAAGCAACAATTGCTCAGAGGTGGGAGAAGTACTCAGATCTTGTACTTGAGTAAAAGTAGAAGTACTCAGGTCTTGTACTTGAGTAAAAGTAGAAGTACCAGGGTGTAGGAATACTTTGTTACAAGTAAAAGTCCTGCATTCAAAATGTTAATCAAGTAAAAGTACATAAGTATTTGCATCAAAATATAGTGAAAGTAGCGACAGTAAAAGTAGTCATTGTGCAGATTGGTCCATTGCAGAATAATATATATGATATGTTTTATAATGATTGATCATGAAAGTGTTCTCAAAGCTGGTAAAGGTGCAGCTAGTTTGAATGACTTTGTATACTGCAGGGTAGCTTGTGGATTTACTCCAGGTGGAACTAAAGTCTGATTTAACACTTGATTATATTTCACATCATAAATCCAAATCTGTAAAGTAACTAAAAGGTACTAAATACATGTAGTGGAATAATAGTACAAAGTAGCATAACATGGAAATACTCAAGTAAAGTACAATTACCTCAAAATTGCACTTAATTACAGTACTTGAGTAAATGTACTTAGTTACTTTGCACCACTGCTTCTCCGTCAATCGACCTGTTAGCAAGAAAGACACCTACATGCAGTTATAACAAATTTTTAAAATGTATTTTAATAAACGGAGCACATGGTCTTAGAATCACAATAAAAAGGGAACAGCTCAAATCTTTTATCAACTCTTTAGAAATAACAACGCAGGCACTTCACCCATCTTTGTCAAACAGGAACACAGCAGTGGGGGGGTTGTGTGCATGCAGCCGTGCACACGTGTTCATAAAAGTCAGTAAACAACACATCCTTTAGAAAGCATCTCATCACTGTGAATAATAAAATCAATACAAACTGAAAAACACCCACAACCAGCCCAACATGACAAAACAGGAACACGTCTGTAAATCATTGGCTCTCAACTCCCAAAAGTCCAGAAAAAATATTTAACAGATGAACAATTTTGATTATTAACACAAATACGTCAACATCTGGTGGAGTTACAAAGGAACGGTGACACAGTGCAGGAGGTGAGTAACGCTGGTGAATAAAAGCAGCTCTTAAACTCTTTTACTAAAGCCACATAAGTCGTTGATACATTTTAGGGTTGCAACCAGGATTATTTTCATGATTAAATCTGATGATTGATTGATTAATCATTTGGTCTATAAACCGGCCAAAAATCACTCTAAACCACTTTTTGATTATGAAAATAGTTGGTGATCTATGATTTCCTATATATTAAAGGAAAGTGTTTAAGTTCCTAATTCTTTATGCAAAACGGTTTTTCTTTTCAGAAATGCTGATTTAAATCCCACATTGTTTCTAGTATAAGGCAATGACTTAAAATAATCTAATCTTTTAAACTGGCATCTGTTGTCTTTGAGATATATGTTATTTGATATGGTGCACTTTAACACTTAATGAGTGAGGTCATTACAATTGGATAGTGCAGGGATTTACATGTTAGACTCTCCAAAGTGGAACTACACACAGAAGCTATGTGCAGAAATACCTCACCTCAACAAGTGAATCCACTGACTGCAGCCAGTACACTGACATGAAGATATTTTGCTATACATTTGACTATTAGCTTGTGAAAAATCCATTATCAAAAATAACACATTGTTTGAATGAGTTTGTTTCTCCTTATTTTTTGAAAAGTCTAAGACATCATCTGTCAACAAAGGTACCATTTTTGGGCATGAAAATGAAAAGCAGAAATGCACCCTCTGTGAATTTAAACTTTGGAGCTTTAAAGAGCCATAACACCAACATGAATACCTTTTCTACATTAGGCGAGAGAGAAGAGACAATAACACATTTGAAAAAGGGAAATTTAGAATGAAAGAGCTTACAGCATCAAGCGAGATCGTCTTGAAAAAGAAACTGAGAAGCCGGATTAGTCAGGGTCTCAGTGGAGTCACACCTCCAGAGTTTGAAGAAGCTGCTGCTGCAACGACACGAAACGACGGCACAACTTTGGTTTGTCTCTAACATGCTTCATGAAACCAGCCCATCATGGTGCGATGAGCGGGGTTAATGAGCGCTACTAAAACATTGAAAAAACGTCACTAAACAATATCTACAATTTGATTTCCTTGCATCACAATGTGTAAATAATATCCGGGGAAGACGATAGTGAAGGAAAGAAAACAGCAGGTCCTATTCCACGTGTGCACACACATACCAAAGATCCTAGGAAGGTTTGTAGGAGCCAATCATGGAGCTCAGGAGGAAGTGAGTGTTTCCTTTAGAGACCTCAGCGTCCTCAGATCAGGGTCATCTGGAGGTTAGGTTTCTCCATGGTGCGACCGTTCAGCTCCTCGTCACCGTCGCTGCCGACAATCTCCTGCCTGGCGATTTCGCTGCGCCGTTTCCATGGTGACTGATCCTCCTCTGCTACTTGGAGGAGTGCACGGTCTCCTGCAGCGACAGGCGGGAGCGCGCAGAGGGCGGACCGCCGCTCAGCCTCCACGGCAGCAGACCCAGGAAGTTGTCCTGGTGGTGGGGGTCCAGAGTGAAGCTGAGGGCCCGCTGGTGAGGAGCCAGTGGGGGGTTCTGGGGAGGGTAGATCCGTGTTGATGGGGTAGTAAAAGGTGGAGGATGTTGATATTGGGGAGGAGTTGCCACTGTGTTCCTGGAGAGATAAACAGAAGAAGAAGTGAGAGGCGGAAGAGGAAGATGGTTGTGATGGATGGAGGGATGGAAGACAGCGATGGCTCAATGGATGGAGGCTGGAGGGATGAGGAGTGCAGTGAGAGGAACAATGTAAGGAAAAAAAGAAATCAAGTCAAAATAAGGAACTTATCGTCACCTTGTTCACCAGTAAACTCAGAGCCTAAATGCTACTAGTGACAACATTTGAGATGTACACAACCACTAAGCTTTATGTATTGCAAGATGACGTCACCAAACACAATTTTTCTGACTAACCTTTTTTTATATCCATCTTTTTTTATCTTGTTGTTGTATTGTGCACAACCGCTATATTCAAAACTTTTTTTTGTACCTTTTATAAAACAGATAAAATATTATCCTGACAAAGACTTTTTTTTATATTCTACCAACTCTTGGAGCAAAGGCTAGTTACTCTCACTTGAAAAGAGTTGCACAGGACACTCCATTTTGTTGTCCACAGTTACTTTGGTTGTTCCGACACCCACCATTTCCACTAGGAAAGTAACTGCCATAAAGATAAAGATTGGTCTTTGGAAACTGGGTGCAGCTCCAGATAGCTACCAGGGAAAGTCTTTTCTTTGTGCTGTTGTGGTTGCGCAATGGTTGAAGCATTACTTTCTGCCTTTTTTATACTATGAGATCATACCCAGTGGCAGACAGAATCGCATAGTGAAAAAAAGTTTATAGTAAACTGATCTAAATGCAATATTCTGCAGCGATTACATCTGCCATTATCACATTAAATAAAACAAAATGTTGTGAAATATGCCCCTCGTTTTTTAGGTGTAGTTATAAAAGAGAACATTTAGGATCTGGAGAAACTAGAATTCAAAATAGTGTAAGCAGTATAATAATCATCATAATCATCCGACCCTTATTAACAGCAGTTATCCGAGCTTTTGCCATCAATTTGATTTCTGGTGATCAAGGAAACATTTCCCTAAAATACTTTCAAATGTGATGACACTCATTATTGGTATGAACAGAAAAATGTAACATGCAGGTTGTATGGGTTAGATGTTAGACAACATTATATATTAGTAAAGAAAGAACAGAGTTGTAAATAATTCCAGTTAGGACATTTAACCAGCTAGCTTAATTGCTAGGCGTCACACAAAATATGTGAAATGCTACTGTGACACCAATGTCCATGCAGTTCCAAGCAACACGTACGAACGAGTGATGCTGCAGTTGCCAAGGAGCAGGGCAAGATCAAACAGCGGTTGCTAAGGAAGCAGAGAGGCAGTGGGGCTTGGTGATTGGACGATGAGCAGCGGTGGGAGGGGCAGGAAGTAGGCAGCGGGGCTCATTTGGGGAAGGTTAGTACTTCACTGTCACACCTTACTCTCTGAAAAGCAGACACACACACACACAGAGGAAATACAGAGAGGGTTAGCGGGAAAAAAGAAAAAGCTCATAATGAATTGTGGAAGTTCCGCTGGGATTCAGGTATGCTGTAAATGTTATTAAGACGTGAATATGACACACAACATGAAACATCGAAAACATCTGAGACAGGGAGGAAGAAAGAGGAGAAAGACTTAAAAAGTTCAGAGATGATTGGTCATGTTATAAGGAAAGGATGGGGTTTAGTCCTATGTGGATTGCCTCTAATTATGATGCCAAGATGTCAACGTAAAGCGAGTTTAAAATGTGTTTTTGAAAAGATGTGTAGCTGGGATGAACAATAGCATGAGGCAAATCAGAAATAAATCTTGCGATTCATTTTCTAGGTCTGATTTCAATTGGCTTCTATCCTATGTACGGCTAATGAATACATACACATGTTTCATCAGGTTTATCTTCCTGAATTGGATTTTTTTATCTGTGAAAAAAAAGTTTTTCCAGAATAATAATTTTTCCCCATTTTATAAACATCTTGTTATTGTAATACTTATTATGACCACTAGAGGCTGAAGTGTACCACTAACCCATGATCCAAATAGAAAGGACTTTTTTATTTTTTCCAGGTGTAAATAAATTAAGAAAAATATATAATCCTACCAAAACCTTTTTTTCCAAAATATTTCTAAATCATAATTACAGGAAATAATTTAAGATCAGACTTAAAAAATCCAACACCAAAGCTGTTTTTATCTCCGAGGCTACTGTAGGATTTGATGGACCAGTGTGTTAATCTAAACAATTATAAGCATGATGTCTGGGGGGGGGGCGGGCTATGATGGAGGATGAGGATACTGCCAACAAACAGCATACAGGCACAAAAACATCATCAGAGTTCAGCAAGCACATCTGCCAACGAGGATAAATACCTGGACTCAGATCAAATGTCAAAAACCAGGAACACTTCATGCAGCACTCACATCATTTAGGATTTTTGTTTTCAAGACATTTTGAGGAGCAAACTGTCAAGAAAACTGTTCAATTTGAATCTTATATTCAAATACTGTCAATCGACCGCACTGCAAAGCAAACTCCTGGGGTATCTGTCAGTAGCTTTAGGATGGATGAACATGATGAGTTAACTGTAAAAATGCAAGGGCCTCAGTGGGACACAGAAGCAGAGAACTCCTGTAGTGAGCGGGTTACTGCTGGGTAAGGGATCGGGGGGGGGGGGACTGGGTCACATACGTGCTGCATTCACCACTGCAGAATGGCGTATACCTCGGTATACAAGGGCTGGACAGCCTTCTGGCCTGACGGATCTGAAAACAGTTTACAGCACAGCTCGGTTACAGTCATGTGAGGAGCTGCTCTCCAAAACACCACACAGCCATCCAGAGGCCTGACTGCAGCGAGGAATATCCAAGGAACAAGTGTAATGAAACCCATTCAAATGTTGTCATATGTTTCATGTCTATATGTCATTGTCATTGCTGGGAAGGCAAGAAAGTGCAATGTTGAATTTGGTGCAATTTGGAAATATGTTCAATATTAATAAACAGTATGTCTTTGACTGCAGTTCACTTTTGCGACTGGCCATTTTACAACTTACTTTGGATACTGATACTTAGTTTTTCTCTGAAGTAAAATTATTAACCTTTTAATTGTAAAACTATTAATTCAACACATCAAGTACACAGTTGGAAGCATACAGGTGAGATGCAGTGCTTTGGGGGATGTTTTTTATAGGATACAATGGGTTAGAATATAACATCATTCAATATTACATGAACTGAACATAATAATAAATGTAAAGCTGTTGGGGAGTTTTTTCCTGTCCACTAGAGAGAATCTCCCATGGGTTTCAAACCGTGAGTAGCCACGACTTAACTGTGCGTTCTTTGAAGGAAACTCTTCGAACAGAGTGAAGAGATTGAGAGAGAGTAAGAACAGCAAAGACAGGGAGTGTGTTTGAGTGAGTGTGTGTGCATTTGTGTAGAATAGACATAAATAGTAGTTCAGAGTGTAAGATGTGTCGAGACAATTTGTGCGAGGAAACAAACACTTATCATCCTGTGAAAACAATCATCATCATCATACAAATTATGTCTGATTGAAATTGAGGTTCAAATGGATTTTTCTCTGAATGAATAAAGGTGATCTAATCAAAATGTTCCTTGTGTTGTTTTAAATCTTGATGAACTGCAGTACATCCTCCCACCACAAGATGGAGCTACTTGACTGGAACAACAAGCGAGTGATTGGACCAGACAATTTAGGCCCAATCCCAAACCACGCCCTACACACTACCCCTCCGTTCGCGCGGAGGGTCGGCCACATTAAGTGCTGTTCCAAACCAACGAGTGTGGAGCGGTGTGGAGGGGGAGTGGGCTATCAAGCCCTCAAACAGCGAGTCTGCAGCGGTGCTGACTTGAGACCGGTCTCTACCTGACCGGAGTCACGCTGTGTGTGTCCGTCAGGAAACACGCTGTTAAAAAGTAGTTCCAGCAAACATCCACTGAAACTGCGATGTTAACAACCTCATGATAACCTCATATTTTTTTAACTTAGGATCGTACCTGTGGTTAGTCTAGAAAAAGGTAAATGTGTGCATTTTATTATAAAGTTGTGTATATTTACAGACTGTTGCAAAAACTAAGAAGCTTATAAACATCAGGTTTAAAACTAAAAGAGCTTTACAAAAAAGTAACACAATTAAAGATGTTTGGAGTTTTATTTTAGTTAACTAAGTTATTCATTTTAATTTGTTGTCTAAGAGATGCTGATTTGAAAGCGTTGTTACATACAGTACAGTTACGGCATTTCCTGTTTCTGCCGGAGAGAGGGGAGTTTGTCCCAAAGCTTGCCGCTGTATTTACTCCCTCCATCTGACAGGAGGGAGCCTCGTTGAGCTGCGAGTGTCACTCCGTCACAGAGGGGGAGTGTGTAGGGGTAGGGGGTAGGGTGTGGTTTGGGATTGGGCCAGAGTGTAGTGACACTGCTGACCAATCGGAGGGATGGTTTCTAAAAAACTATAAAGCAAGATGCATTGTTTTTGTTAATATCATCTTTGTGACATTACATGTGTTGCTATTTGCCCTTTTGTATATGGTCCTGTGCATACTATACGCTGTTAAATTGAAAAGAACACAAATAAAAGGGGTCGAAAAGAGTAATGTAAATGCTCAAGTTCTAACTAGAGTCCACTTCAGTTTTGAGTACAAGGTTTTGCTCTTGGTTTATAAATAATGCAGGCTCAATGCCTTTTAAAGATGTTCAATATTAATGCCAGAAGTGTCAAATATATAGTATATCTTTCCATTTCCTATGTTATTACTGAGTATAACATTATTTCTTTACTAAAATGTTACTCACTATCTTTGAATTTTTTTTTGACAGGATAACTACATTTTTTAAGGATACCTACATATATTTATTTTTAAATAAGTATACCTCAAGTGGTTTTTTTGCTTTTTTATTATACACGTTTTCTTTTCAGTGTTTTCCCTTGTTAGTGTACCTACAGTGTTTTCCCTTGTTAGTGTACCTACAGTGTTTTCCCTTGTTAGTGTACCTACAGTGTTTTCCCTTGTGTGTGTACCTACAGTGTTTTCCCTTGTGTGTGTACCTACAGTGTTTTCCCTTGTTAGTGTACCTACAGTGTTTTCCCTTGTTAGTGTACCTACAGTGTTTTCCCTTGTTAGTGTACCTACAGTGTTTTCCCTTGTGTGTGTACCTACAGTGTTTTCCCTTGTTAGTGTACCTACAGTGTTTTCCCTTGTGTGTGTACCTACAGTGTTTTCCCTTGTTAGTGTACCTACAGTGTTTTCCCTTGTTAGTGTACCTACAGTGTTTTCCCTTGTGTGTGTACCTACAGTGTTTTCCCTTGTTAGTGTACCTACAGTGTTTTCCCTTGTGTGTGTACCTACAGTGTTGTCCCTTGTTAGTGTACCTACAGTGTTTTCCCTTGTTAGTGTACCTACAGTGTTTTCCCTTGTTAGTGTACCTACAGTGTTTTCCCTTGTGTGTGTACCTACAGTGTTTTCCCTTGTGTGTGTACCTACAGTGTTTTCCCTTGTGTGTGTACCTACAGTGTTTTCCCTTGTTAGTGTACCTACAGTGTTTTCCCTTGTTAGTGTACCTACAGTGTTTTCCATTGTGTGTGTACCTACAGTGTTAGCGGAGCGTCCGGGGCCTCGCTGAGCTACGATGGCCCCTGAGATGGCCTTAATCCAGCTGTGCATGTCCTCTGGACTGTCAGCCTGAAACACAGGGAGAGAGAAAGACAGGATGGGATCATGTTTAATTGTTTTTCTAGGAAAAGTCATTTGTAAATGCATAAATAGTATTATTACTGCAGTGCTAATAATGTCACAGTGTTAAAAGCCTGAGAGAGAAACATTAAGTGAAATTCCAAGCTGAGATTATAAAAACAATACATCTCTGTGTTCTCTGTGAGGCTGATTAAGGACAGCATGCGTACTGTCTATCATGATCTTCTTAGTGTAGCGTGTTAGCATGCTAACATTCGCTAATTCAATTTTGCTGAGGGGAACATTTTATTGTGGAACAAATTACATTACAATCCATCAAATAGTTGTAGAGACAATTCACAAGAGTGAGTGAGTGAGTGAGTGAGTTAGTTAGTTAGGGGATCACCACGTCAAGATTTGTAATAAACTTTATCTCCATCATTCATCCAATAGTTGTTGACATTATTTCAGTGTGAGTACTGAATTGCAGAGCAGATGGAACAAGAAACACTTTGCTAGCATGGCTAAAAAAAACAAGATTTTACACAAAGATGTAAACTATTGGTCCTTGGGTTTACGAAAGGCTCGATATACATTTGACTGACTGACAGATTTATCTTCATGTGTGTTACCTGCATGTAGAAGGTTCTGGAACTGGTGACCATTTCAAACAGGTTGTCCCTCATCATCAGATCACTGCAGAACAGAGACGGTTATTAATGAGCTGCCATGTGAAGGCCTGGCAGCAGCAGCACTGATTCATGAACGCCTCACAGGAACTCACTGACCTCTGTTTGCACTCTTGCACCTTGTGAATCTCCTTCAGAGGGATGACTCTCAGGGCCTCTCTCTCCTGCAAGGAACACAAGAGATAACTATTACACCCACAAACACACATACAGACTTCACAACAGCAAAAACATGCATACTATAACGTATGGTGATTCCAAAGTAAAACGCACAGACAATTAAATTAAAAAGCATACTTAAGGAGCCTTATTCTGCTCATTTTCAGGTTCATATTTGTATTCTGTGCCTCTACTGTGACTTATCTCAATGCTTTAATGTTCAAAAAGCTCTTTATTTTTCTCATACTGCCTGTGCTGCAGCACCTCTTTTCACCCTCTGTCTGAAACCAGAGCCCAGTCTGCTCTGATTGGTTAGCTGGCCTGCCCCTTAGCCTATCACGTCAAATGTGTTGGTGCACTAGCCAATAGAACCATGAGTGTTATGTAGTGATGTAATTATGTGACATAAGTAAGCAAAGGAGTCCAATGGATTTTAGACCATTTACATGCGCAAAAATCTATGTAACTGATACAGGAAAGGGAAACCCCAAAAAGCTCAATAGAGCCATAATGAGTTTTTGTTTTGTACAGTAGTATATGAATTTAAAATGACATCTCCCTTCCTCACCTAAACTGCTTCATCATTTTTGCTGCTTGATTAGTTGCCAGCTTTTATTTTTATGAGATATCACAGGAAGTTCCATCTTCCATTAGAGCTAGCTATACAGCTCACACTTATTATTGTTCCTCTGAGAAATAGAAGATACGCTAACTATGTAACTGCGTCCTGATGTGTGTCTGGTTGCATAGCTCCGTGGTGATTATATTTTACGCTATTTATTTTATTTGCTGCTCAATGTTGAAAGCACAGAACACACAGTGAACATTTTCAAGTGGGCGGGGGATTCCTACTTAGTGGCAACAGTCTAAGGAAAGGATAAGCAACCTGAGGCACATTTGTTATATTGGGCCAAATACAAATTAATTATTAAAATATAAATATAAATAATAAATAAATATAAATACATAAACTAAAAGGAAGAAAATGCGATTGATTAAGAGCTCTATATCAAAGAAAACGTGCCTCTGGTGTTGATAAATAAAACATATTTTTTCCATGCTTCCTCTTGCCTTGCAAAAACCCACTTGAAACTATAAGTAGGCACCTGTACACATTAGATATTAAGCTCATACACTTTATTAAAACCATTCCTGGTCTGCATTCCTGCTCAATGATCTGTTTGACACCATGTCCGATACTCAAAGAGATAAAAGTCTCTATAATATACAGAAGGATCTCTAACCCTGGACTAATTATTACTTTCTCAAAGTATATATCATCACATAATCCAACCAAAACTGCTGGTGGTAAAAAAGAGGCCACTTATATACTACTTAGTTATTATTACATTTCTATCCCCACATGCTGATTAGCTAAATTGCATTGATTTTCTCTTCTCATATCAGACTTTAGTTTCCACACACACACACACACACACACACACACACACACACACACACGTAAGGAGTCGCTAATCTCTCCATGAGGAATTCAGGAAACATGCTGCTGCGTGTACACACATCTAACTGAGTGCAGAGAGAGTCACTGCACACACACACAATTGTTATATTTGCACAGTTTTATTCCTCAGTACTAGTAAGCAGTGTGTGTGCGTGTGCGCGTGTGTGTGTGTATATGCTTAAGTGTAATGTAAGCCAACAGTGAGTGTGGCTAGTAGCTACATGCACAAATCTGCATACTGCTGTAACATGATCATTTTTTAACAATTGGTTCATTCAAAAAGAAAGAAAAAAACATATTGTCTCACCAGGTCAGATTTGTAGTAGCTGAGAGCGTTTTCTTCCAGCATGAAGTATCTCCTCTTCCAATTCTTCATCTGAGGAAGAGGAGCAGAATTATCAACATAAGTGTACACACATTGGTTACTAAGGTTTTAAAGCCTTGAGATTGGCACTTTGGCCGCTGCCATCTTGGTTTTAAGGAACCAGAAGTGTCAAAAGAGAGTGGAACTAAGTACAACCGAATAGTAGCAACCTGTCAATCACAAGGTCCTCAAGCATACTCTGCTTTACCATTTCTTTGGTTAAGTTTAATCCATTTATTTTAGTTTTTTCAAGAATATTGTTTTTGCTGTGTCAGCAGAGGTGTGTGTGTGTGTGTGTGTGTATGTGTGTGTGTGTGTGTGTGTGGCCTCACCAGAGCCCCCTGTTTGACACAGTATCCGGCCTTGATGGCCTGGTCCTGCACTCCTCTGGATAGGAAGTAGGGAAGCTGATTCTGACCTTTCTTCAAACCTCCCCGCTCCCCCTCGGTATGCCCTTCCCCCTGCTCCTGAAACACACATACAACAAAACATTTTACAATTTAAAAAAGCTTCTTATTTGCACATTCAGCAAGTACGGTGCAACATTAGCATCTCTTTGTAATGGGGAACATCACATTTCTTAATTTGTCTCTACTGATTTAGCATTGTTTAGCAAAGACACGTGATGAACCTTTTTTTTTTTTTAAAACTCTATGTCTGGGTTGCACAAACAAGGTTTAGTTTTAAAAATGTGAATAGCTCACGGTTTAAAAAGGCCCCATTATGTTTTTTGGGGTTTTCCCTTCCTGTAGTGGAGAATTCCGGCATGCAAATGGTCTGCAAAGGCTATAATCCCAAAGAAAGACCACATTTAAACCTGTCTTTAAACATGTAATAAGTTCGTACTCTTCAATTGAATTATGCTGCAACAAAAAAATCTTAAAATTGGGATCAAGTTTTATTCTAAACCTATTGTTGAGGAAGAGTATCTTTTAATATGGCTGCCTTTTTGAGATGGACTGATGAACATAGGTGATCTTGTCCACTTTTTGAATCTTATATTATTTGGCTGTGTTGCACTTCTCAAAAGAGAATAAATTAGAGTTGTTCTACTGAGTCATCATGAGTAATATTTAGCTACTGACTTTTTAGTTAGCCTGGAGTGTAGCATTTTGTTAGGAAATACAGAGAAGCCAAAAGTGAATGCCCCAGCTGACAGCATGCAAATGCATTTATTTATTTGGATAAGCTAGAATCTACAGATTGGTTGTTTAATTTCTGTTCAAATCAATAAAGTTGGGTTCAAACAGTTTTTTTTTGTTATTTTAAGACGTTTTAACTTAAATCCTTGATGGTGCAACCTAGGCTTCCAGTCATCAAATTCCAACCATTGCTGGTCTGTGTTGGAGCGTGTCGGATGTGTGTGGCTGCATACCAACACTGACAGGACCGGACCTGCTAACAGCTGCTAATACAACAGCAGTGTGAGTGTTCTATTTCGTATAGGCTTCGCCCTCTAAGGCTATCGCTATTGGGTAATCCCCTGCGCACCCGCGCAGCACTGAAAACACTTGTAGTCCACGCCCACCTGCGAGGTGGGCCCCACCTTCGGACTCACATCCGGTATAAATAGGAAGGAGGCCCACAGCACCCCGGTACTGAAGCACTGTAGAGACACTAAAGAGTAAAGGCTCTTTTAAGAGCCACCTCGAAAAAGATCCTTAAACATGAGTACACAGGGTTGTGTTAGAGTTTGCTCCTCATGCCAGACGGGGTTCATAATGAGTTATGACCGGCACTCACGATGCGAATCCTGCCTGGGGTCGGAGCACCCAGCTCTCGCCCAGCTCTCGCCCAGCTCTCGCCCAGCTCTCGCCCAGCTCTCGCCCAGCTCTCGCCCAGCTCTCGCCCAGCTCTCGCCCAGCTCTCGCCCAGCTCTCGCCCAGCTCTCGCCCAGCTCTCGCCCAGCTCTCGCCCAGCACGTGTCATGTGCTCATTGTCATTGTGACCGTCTCCCTCTGGCCGCAGACAGCGAAGAGCAGACGCTCTCGCTACTGCGGCCGAGGAGGATGATTGGCCAGTCCAGAGTCCTACTCCGTGGACCAAGCCCTTGAGTTCCTGGATCCGAGTGCTGGGCAGGAGTCGGATGACCCCTACCCCGCCTCCATCCACGGATCACCGTGTGGTTTTCTCCATCCCGTTTCTCCCCCGGACGGAGGAGACAGAGATGGAGCCCGGTGCCGGCCTGGCCCGGCTGCGGGACCCGCGGTCCCTCTTTCCGCCATCACGGCTCTGCCGTCGATAGGCGGGATCCTGCAGGAACTGCCGGAGATCATCGAAAAGGCAGCCGCCTGGAGAAGTCTCCTCGTTCCTCCGGCTCAGGAGAGCTCTCTTGCCGGTGGCAGGAGTGTTTCTCCCGGGTACAGACCGTCAGGAGTGACCCGGTCTGGCCACACTTCCCGGCCATCCGGAAGTACCAGGAGGGAGCGGCGGCGGCCCCTATAGGAGCCTGAAGGCTCCGGTGTCCTCATACGTCCCTCTCACTAAGGGGTTGACAGATGTTGGTTTTCCGACCGCGCCTCCCCTGGAGCCGAACCTGACGGCATTGTTCGTGGTGAAGCATGGCCAGCACGGTCACCGCACGGCGTCCCTTGCTTTCCTCCCCCGGGGACCAGGTTGTCGTCCGCCAGACTGACCGGATGCACCAGTGTGCCTTCCAGGCGTCTGTAGCGGCAAACAACTCCATAGTGAGACTATCAGAGCAGCCCTCCATGCCCTCCGAGGCTTCGGAGGAGATAGAGGAAAGTGCTGCTGGATGCTCCAATCAGCCCGGACGGGCTGGCTGTTCGGACCCCAGTTCCACGCGATGGTGGAGTCCATGAAAACAGCAGCAGCAGCGCCCGCAGCACCCACAGCCACGGCGTCAGGGTCGCCCTTCGGCGGCCGCGGTGGTGGTTCCGTCCCACGTCTCCACTCCTCCGCCACCCGAGAGACAGGGTCTCCCGGCGGCGAGTCGGAGGGGATCGAGGCACCCCCGCTCCTGGTCTGCTCCGCGAGAGCCTACGAAGAAGCAGGGCCGATACTGACGGTTTGGGGGGGGATTTTTGTGAAGAAAATAAAAACGTTTCATTTTCCAACAGTTTGTCGGTGTCATCAGTAACAACTGTTTCTCACATATCCCCCACCCTGTGTAAGCCAGCTGCCTCTGACCTATCGGTTAGTAGCCAGCAGGGCTCGCTGCAGAAGCCTGCTGTTTTTAACCTATCGGTTAATAAACTGCAGAGCTCGCGGCATTCCTCTGTCCCAGATATACCTCCTACACACGGTCATAATAAACCCACGAGTGCCGTTATAACGCCTTGTGTGGACAGCACTGCACACACCTCCACTCATCCCCTGAGCGTGTACGCGCCGCATGATGAGAGCCGGAGTGAAACGCAGCGTGTGGAGGCGTGTGGTTCGTCACCATGACGCAAGCATGCACAAGCATGTATGCCCGCTCTCAGAGTATTTCTCAGAGTGGCAGCGCATGTATGTCTGATGGACAGATGGATGAGCAGGCTGATCAGCAGAGGGTACTCTGCAGTTCACCTCTTTCCCCCCCCCCCCCCCACAGTTCAATGGGATACAGGAAACACTCCTGTCATCCCAGGAACAGTGTCTTGCGCTCCCAGGAACAGTGTCTTGCGCTCCATTCAGAGCTGCAGGACCTCCTGTTGAAAAATACTTTTTCAAGGGTTCCTCAAAGGGAGGAAAATCAGGGGTTTTTACTCCCGTTATTTTTCTAATCCCGAAAAAGACCGGGGGTATGAGACCCATCCTTGATCTGTCAGTATTCCACATGCTGACAATCAAACAGCTGCTGGAATGTGTTCACCAGGACGACTGGTGCACTTCCATAGACCTGAAGGATGCATACTTCCACGTACCCATCATCCCGAAACACAGGAAATTCCTGCGTTTCTCATTTCAGGGAATATCAGACCAGACAACCGTCTGCCGTTCGGATATTCCCTGGCTCCTCGCATTTTTCCAAAGTGTGTAGAGAAGGCTCTGAAGCCGCTACACAGAGGAGGGATGAGAGTGTGGTTGTATCTGGACGACCTGCTATTGCTGGCTTGCTCCAGGGAGGAAGTCGCTTTACAGACGTTACATCTCGTATCGCATCTGTCAAGCCTGGGTTTCATAAATTGGAAGAAGATCTGTCCTCTTCCCTCTCAGACAATCATTTATCTGGGAGTGGAATTAAACTCAGCCAGCATGAGAGTGCGGCTCTCGTGGCAGAGAGTGGAGAAACTGACAGCTCTCCTCCGGCGTGTCACACCCGCAGCATGGTGACAGCCCTCTCCGGCGTGTCACACCCGCAGCATGGTGACAGCCCTCTCCGTGATGCAGCTGCTCAGCATGACGGAGGTGATCCCCCTGGGTCTCCTCCACAGGAGGAGACTCCAGAGGTGGTTCATTCGCCTGCGCTTCAGAGGTAAATGTGCTGGAGCTGCTCTCCGTTTTGGAAAGTATTCCAGCACTTCGCCCCATTGATTCGCACAGACAACAGGCCACGGCAGCCTACCTCAATCGCCAGGGAGGAGTACGATCTGCGCAGCTTCTGAACGCAGCCAGGCGGCTGCTGTTCTGGGCGCGCACACACGTTGCTCTCCATCAGAGCAATGTATATTCCCGGCGAATTGAACAGAGGGGCTTGCAGAGCGCAGGATCACCCCCCTCTGGGGGTAGACGCGTTCGCACATCGGCCGTGGCCCAATGTGCTGTTATACGTTTTTCCCACCAGTTTCGCTGACCCCTCGGTTCCCGGACCGAGTGCGGGAGAAGCGGCTATCAGCGGTCCTGATAGCCCCAGAGCGCACGGGAGCGTCTTGGTTTCCATGCCTACAGCGTACGCTATCAGGCAGACCGTGGGAAATTCCGTGGCGCGGGGACGCTCTCTCCCAGGCGGAGGGAGCGATCAGCAGCCACCCAGCCGTTTTCTGCGAGGAGTACGGAGACTCAGACCTGTGTCACGCACACTGGCGCCTCAGTGGGACTTGGCTTTGGTGTTTCGTGCACTGAGTAAAGCCCCAGTTGAACCTTTAGATCAGGTTCCCCTCAAGGTTTTGTCAGCCAAAGTAGCATTACTTTTAGCCCTGACATCAGCAAAAAGGGTGAGTGATTTGTCTGCCCTCTCTGTGGCTCCGTCATGTCTCCGGATCCAAGGAGATGGCAGCTCAGCTGTTTTGTCAGTGGAAGACATTTGCACTGCTGCTTCTTGGTCTTCCCCCTGTTCGTTTATTCAATTGTATTTGAGGGATGTCTCCCATTCCTCTCACACCCTGTACTGAGTGTCCTGTCAGAGTGAGTGACGTCAGGGATCCAGCTGTGCGCCTCTCGGCACGCAGAGAGCGGCCCTTTTTCCCATCTTATGAGAGGGATGTTCCCTTTTTTCCCCTCTCTGACACACTCTGTACTGAGTGTCTTGTCAGAGTGAGTGATGTCAGGGATCCAGCTGTGCGCTCTCCTGCCTGTCTGCACGCAGAGCTGCCCTTGTTCCCCCTTTTTTATCGCTGGACAAAGTGTGACCGTAGTCTCTACGATAGCCTTAGAGGGCTACGCCTATACTCATAGAAGCTGGAGTTACAGTAGGTAACTTCAGTTACCTGGGTAGCTGTGATGATTGGGACTCCTCCTATAATTTCAGTCTTGTAGGAGACCTGCTTCATGGCTCCAAGAACGTCTTGGGTAGTCTCTGCAGTTGTTTGGCCCTCGTCTGGCTTTGGCACCTAAAGAAACATCCGGAAGTTAAACAACAGTCCTGTCCGTCAAACACACTTTTTATACCCTCAAAGGGTTGAAGGTTAAAGTGGTTTATATTTGTAGTAATGCCTTCAAGGACAGGTACAGGCAGCAAAGCTTACAGATGGAGTCCTTTTGATTTGGTCTTATTATCATCATCATCATCATCATCATCATCATCATCATATATTCTAATAAAGTATATAGTTAGGGCTGGTTCAGCTTTCAGGAGGAGAAACATCCTGAAACTTATTAATGTTCCATGGTCCTACTATTTCAGTGTTTTTTTTTCTTTTTCTGTTTTACATTCCATCTTGAATTGTATTATATTTTTGTTTTGTGATATTCGGCTATACAAATACAATTTCATTTACATATTACAAAGTGACATCACTATGTAACAATCACTCTTCTATTGGCTAGAGCCCCAACACATTGTAAGTGAGAGGGCGAGAAATCTCTAAGAGATTGACCAATCACAACAGAGCCGGCCAGCTAACCAATCAGAGCAGAATGGGATCTGGTTTCAGACAGAGGGTGAAAAGAGGTGCTGCAGCACAGGCAGTATGAGAAGAATAAAGATATTTTTGAACATTAAAGCATGGAGACGTGTCACAGTAGAGACACTACATACAAATAAGTACTATTAAGTAAATGTACTTGTCAGTGGCAAATGGGCCAAATTTAAAATAATTCAAACTTTGAGCACAGCGCTCTGTGGCAATTTCAAGCTTTATGTATAAAGTCCTTTATGATAGTTTTAACCTCTGAGTAATTACAAATATTTGTATGTCAGTTAACTGTTGTTTTAGTGAGTGTTTTCTTTCTTTCCTTCCACCCTTTAATAGCAGGGTTAGGAGTAGCAGATGCAAACATTTCATATCCTGCATCACGCGCTATTTAATGAAACGGAGACGTGTCGTCCCATGGTGGGCGTTAGTGGTTGTGGCCACGTCTGTAAATATAGTATGATGAAATATTGAATAACTTTTAAGGTCCAGACATGACCACAAACAGCTGCAGGTGGATATGAAAGCTCCCATCTTCTCTGTCACACTCTCTGTAAGCCTGAACTGAACTTCATCTCTCTAGCCTGATGGGTAATTTTCCATCTGCCATACCCTGAGGCAGAAGACAGAGTGGCGTACAACAGCAGGAGAAACAGGGTCACCTATTGATCCATGTATGTATGTATGTATGTATGTATGTATGTATGTATGTATGTGTGTGTGTGTGTGTGTCTCACAGTAATCTTGGTAGCATTGTTGAGAACACTGATCCATTCCACCAAATCCTGCTGGTCGTTGGCCTGCAGATAAAACTTCCTCATTCCTGCATTTATAACTGCAGAAGGGGAAAGTCAAACAGAGAAATGTCAATGTGTTGGTTGTCACCTGCTTCTAACTTTGAAACACAAAAGTGAAAAACACAAGAGGAAGAAGAAAAATCCCCTGAGCTTCATGCAAATCATGAACTAAAAATACAGTTTGGTTATTTTCAGAGGCAGAGGAAGCAAGAAGGAAACTGTACAATGACTCTGACCTGATGAGTGTGAGTGTGAGTGTGAGTGTGAGTGTGAGTGTGAGGGCATCTGGATGGGACGTTAACACATGCAGGGATCAGGTCATTGTACAGTTTCCTCCTATTGAGTGACAAACAGCTACTGTGGACCACCAGAGGAACAACAAGCGGCAAGGGACAAAAGAGAGGAAATAAACCAGGAACGGGAGAGGAAAAGAAGGAGGTAGAGAAGGAAAGAAAGGAAAAGGAATAGCAGAAACAAGGAAGGAAGGAAGGGAATAAAGAGTGGAATTGAAGGAGATTGGAGAAAAAAAGGGTAGAGGAGATGGGAAGAGGATGAAAATAGGGAAAAGTACTTTGGAAAGTATGTGGACATCTTCATTTTGCTCCCATATGTGGACATGGACATACATATCTGTTGCAGCTTTTAGACAATTTTGAACTCACTGCAGACATTTGTGTAGCTGTTTTGGCTTTTATATACATATTAAAGGTGTTCGATGGGGTCTGGGTCAGGGATCAGTGCAGTCCAGTACAGCTTTTTCACTCGAAAGGGGGAAACCATTGCTCTATGGAGCCGCCTTTTTGTGTCATTGTCAAGTTGTAACAGGAAAGAGACAAACACAAACTGGAAGCACACTATTGTCTCAAATATAACTGTATATTGAAACCTTCAGATTTCCCTACATTGGAGCTAAAGGGGCCTAGCCAAATCATACACAAAAAAGCAGATTTCTTGATTTTTGTTTCACTAATTTTAATGTTCTGCCTCTGAATATAATTGTTTTTGTTTAATTCAGCCAAACCACAGTTGTTGATTGTTAGAACAGGGATAAAACTAACCAATATGTTTTATTTTGTTTCATTCGAGTTTAAATAAAGTGTGTTTACCACAAGTTAGCAAGCCTAGCAATTAAGCTAGTCTTTGTTCAGTTAACCAGATCAACTTAAATGAAGAAGGTGTACAGTTGTATTTTGATTCAGTTAAATGAGGAACATAGGCAGAAGAATATGATATTTTGTGGGGTGAAAGGTAGCAAATTTGCCGTCTATACACATGCAAAGATAGAAGGAGAATGTAGTGAGCAAAAGACAAGAGGAAGGAGAAGAAGATGGGGAGAAGAAAACAACGATGAACTTACCAAAGCAGAACTCGGCTTTCGGTCTGAGTTTGGTTGCATCACTGACCTGAACGAGAGAAAGAGTAGAGTTAAACTTTACAGTGACATTCATTAACATTTTCTTACGCTGATTGTCTGGAAACTCAGTCAAAATGTGTTAGAAATACAAAGCCAGAATCCAGAAAGGACACAATCATCATCTTAACTTAGCATAGAAGAAGTAGGGAATTTCATCCGTTTTTGTCTTCCACCAAGAAATTGAAAGTGTGCGTTTGTGTGTATTGTACGTGTATGTGTGTGTGTATGTATGTATGTATGTATGTATGTATGTATGTATGTATGTATGTATGTATGTATGTATGTATGTATGTGTGTGTGTCTGTGAGAAAGGGGACTTACCTTGGAGATGTAGGTAAGTTTGAGAGATCCCACCTTCTCTGCACCTTTAGGCAGATTCTAAACAAAGACACAAAGATGTATATTAGTAGAAGTTGTAGAAGTAAAATTGGTAGCATTATTGTAACAAAAATGGATTTGTTACTTATTCCATCAAAAAAGCTTGCATTACGGCTTGGTAAAATGTAGGATATTCATTTTTTTATATATATATATATATAAGAATATTTTCTATATTTGTATATAAAACAAGAAGTGTATAGTTGGAATTTGCACATTAATTTGGATGTATTAATTTCCCCGTGTGACTGCTAAAGGCCGAAAAGAAAAACACATTTCCTGACATTAGAGGAAATCTAAACATTTAAAACATTTTTGTTACAAATATAATTGAATATAATAATAAAATAGCTACGATTATTAGTTATCAGCATTCTTAATCAATAATCTGTCCACTGGCAGCAGCTAAAACCCTGCAGGGAATTCCCCGGCCGTGGGAAATATAAATACTACTACCCTTTTCGGTTTCTGTTCTGGTTCCTGTTTTCTGTCACACCACTCACATGTGTTTGATAAGTTCTTATCAAACTCCTCACACAAGTGAGTTATACAGCTTCAACCAAGCGCACTCAAATATGTGTCAGGTGTAGTTCTGTCCAACAAAGCCACAACTTCCTGTTTCATCCAAAATGTTAATCCACCCCACCTTCCTCTGCCTTACCAACTGTTTCTTGGTTTATTCTTTTGTTACTTTGTTTAGAGCATATTGAAGCTTGTTTGACAATGCCATTTAATTTAAATGTTATTTAATTAGTTTACAAATATGGAGGGGGAGGGGGTAGCAGTTTAGTTGATACCAGCTTTTTCAAAGACGTGATTTAGAGTTAAAGGCAATGCATCACAGTGTTCATTTCGTTTAGATTTATAAAAGTTCAATGTTCATTTACAAGTTTCATATCAGTATGTAGTGTCTCTACTGGGACATGTCTCCATGCTTTAATGTTCAAAAAGCTCTTTATTTGTCTCATACTGCCTGTGCTGCAGCACCTCTTTTCACCCTCTGTCTGAAACCAGAGCCCAGTCTTCTCTGATTGGTTAGCCTCTGATTGGCCGGCTCTGTTGTGATTGGTCAACCGTTCTCACCAACAAATCTTCGTATTGCGTCTGCTGTAAACACACCATTAGCCTCTCACATACAATGTGTTAAGCGCTAATCAATAGAAAGGCGGGGGGAGTGTGGGAGAGAAACTCCCTCTGGAGGGAACGCAGGGACTTTAGCCTTTGCAGACCATTTATATGCACAAAAACCGATGTTACACACTACAGGAAAGGAAGAACCCTAAAAAGCATAATATGGCCTCTTAAAGGCAGGTAATGTTCTTTATTGTCTCCCCAAAATTCAATAGAGTATCAAATATGTTTTAATCCGTCAATGAAAATAGTCCCAACTAAGTTAGTTCTGCTTGTTTAAGCTTTTGAACTCAAAATGAAATCCTTTTCAGCATTCAACAACCAGGTGTTGCGAGTCCTTGAAAGCACCACCATGGAGGCTTTTAAAGAAGTTACTGCTCCTAACTGCATGCCTGAAAACGACCTGACTTTGCTGAAAAAATAAAGGCAACTAAAGCAAGCATTCTCTCCCAGAACTCCCTGAAGTTGCAAGTCCCTGCTAGTTGACTTTCATTGTGAGCTGAGGTTAATAATAGCTGCCTGGAAGGAAGGAAATTCATCACTGTACCTGACGGTGAACACTAAACATGTGTCTGAACTTCAAAACAAAGCGCCCTAACAATCTCTTTTTAATACCACCAAACACAAGTGTGCTCAGTTGGTTCAGATGTTTTCAGTGCGGACTAACCAAAGAAGAGTCTCTATAAAGTCAGACACATGGGAGAAGCTGTCAATCATGTACACACACACCCATTCATTCACTTTCCCTCACAAAACACACGCTCCCTCACCTGTGGGTTGTCCATGAACCACAGCAGGTTTCCCTGTTTGGTGTCCAGGATGAAGTATCGGCGCAGGAACCTTCCGCTGCTCTCATTTTCCTCGATGTCCAGGAAGCCGCAGATGCGATTCTGTCGGTCCACATAAGGCATCGCAACCCCGAGCAGCTCAACCCGCCCTGGGGCATCACAGGAACGCTGTGGGGGGGGGGGACAGGGCCACATTCAGAACCACTCACAGACATGGGCGTACTTTAATTAACCTGCAGGGAGGTTGCACATATACAATAACATGACCTTAATGAAAATACTTCATGGTTATACATCTTGTTTTCGTCTCAGTTGGATTTGAAATTAAATGAATAGGAAGCTCCTACCTCAGCTTTATTTCAATTTAATTAAAAAGGCTGTAAAGAATGACGTTTTTATGCATGTGAAGCTTCTATTGAGTTCTTTAAAAGAAGCTTTGAATGTCTGGCGTCAGAACGTCTAGAAATAGAAAGAAAAACATGTTTTATTATGTGGCTACATCCTGCATATGTCATTTTAATGTTGTTAGATTGCTGATATAGGTTCAATTGTATTCAATACTTTTTTATGTTTCACTCGTGTGTTTTTTGCAGCTGGGACAAAAAAAAACATGTTAGTACTATAAAATATCTAATCTGATCTAATCTAAAATGTTGTTTCTAAAAGGCTAAATGCCTGCACATATGGATTAAATCAGAATATGTCGTTAAATAAAAACGTGTTGTGAATTTTGGAAATTATTGTATTTTCTTATCTTAAAAAAGTTTAGATTTTTAGGATTTAAAGTTTCTATAGAGTTGTGAGAAATGTTCCGATCACCCAATCGTAAACAATCAAAAAAGGGCTACAAATTTCAACTCATATATACATTGTCATAATATGTTTTAAATACTCTGTATCTGTAAGGTCTGTACAACATATGAATGAGTAACTGTCCAGCTGCCGAGTCATGCCTTTAACAACCTTCATTTCCCTCTCACAATAAACGCGTTGCAACAAGCAGGTGACCAGCTGAACCGCCTCAAACACAAAACTGGAGAAGGCTTTGAATGCAGCCTACATTTTTTGTTTTTGCAATGCAGCCTTGGTAGAAAGCCTGATAATACACCTCAACGTATTAAAAGGATACTGAAAATGTTGCACCTTTGTGGCCATTTAGATCCTAAAAGGTATTTTTTCAATGTCAATTCAAGCAGAGGAGGGATTTCAAAAACAATGAAAATACCTGAAAAAAGTTCACACTATACAATCAGCAGGAAGTGTAATGTGTGTGTGTGTGTGTGTGTGTGTGTGTGTGTGTGTGTGTGTGTGTGTGTGTGTGTGTGTGTGTGTGTGTGAAGGGAAAACGCTTGATATTCAAATGACAAGGAACAGGGAAACTGTCATTCAAAAACTCTCAAATCAAGAAGACTTTGTTACCAAGGAACTCACATCCCCCCTTTGACCATGCTTTTTCTTACACCGCATACCTACACTAATCCTACAAATGATTTAGGAGGGCTACCATATGTTCTTGTTGGAAAGTGTTTAAATGTCATACAGATACTGAAATAAAATGACAATGCAGAAACTCCACAATGACAGGTGAAACATATAGTCCAATACAGTCACTATAATGGACGTGCAGTATGGCAACAGCTATTACTGTTAATAATCTGCCATGTGTTTTTCATTATTATTTACCAATCCTTAAGATATTCCATTTACAATCAAAAAGCAGCAAATCCCCCAGTTACAGGATCTGGATCAATCACATTTCTAAATGTTTCCTTTAAAAAAAATCACAGCAATTAATCAATTATCAAAATAACTGCTGATTCATGTTATTTCTATCGACTAACTGAGTAGATATACATCAGAGAGACACTACTAAAGTATATCATATAATAATACAAACAAAAAAAGCACATAAAGGGTAAACCAGTGGAGCAAACATAATACGGTAATAAATCACAGGCTCAATATACAGTTCTATGGCAATATTTGGAGATTTAAACGTCTTAAATATAGATAATATTAAAGGAATATGATGATGTTTATCTACACTATCGATAAGGGAAATCCACAACACTACACATTCCTTCATATTCATTTAGCTGTATAACATTTCATTACACTGCAATTGAACTGCTGTAACTCCATTACTGACGACGTTATCTTGCATTATTAATCATGGACCCATACAGCCACACAAGTATATATCACTGTGGTAAATACATCCATTTAAACACAATTATTGCCTGTGCGAATCAAACTGTTGTCACACAGGCCTAGAAACATCGACCGATTTCCCTACCGCCTCCATTACCGCTGTGCTCGACATCACATACTTATGAATTATTATTTTTAGGACAGCATTTGTTTGTGTACAGCTCGGTGTAGCCGTTAGGCGGCTCGCGGGCTGTAACGGAGGATTGTGGGTTTACTTACACAGTTCGGCTCAGTCCGAGTCCAGAGTGTGGCAGCTGTCCGGTACGAGCGTAAAGTTACACGCAGATTAAGCATTTATAGACTGCTTCCGGTTGCTGTTTCAAAAATAAAAGCGTTGACGCCTCAACGTTACTTCCGTTTGGACTTCAAAGTATAATACCTTATTGCCAGAGGGACGGACGACTTCATTACAGCAACATGGTGAGGGTTAAAAAAGGATGTAATGAGTTCATAAGTGGAATATATTGATACTACTGGATAAAGATGACCCCAAAAACTGTAACATTATGACCAAATCATGTAGCAAATGCATATTATGTACCTAACTATTATTATTATCATTTTAATTTTTTTCTTGATTTTATTTTTTATTTTATTAATCTGTGTGAATCTTTGCTGTCCTGTTTTTCACGCTTACCCTGTTGCTGCTTGTACAACTGAATTTCCCCACGGGGATTAATAAAGGTCCATCTTATCTTATCTTATCTTATCTCTAAATGTAAGAGAAAATACAAGAGTATTAATTTTATTATGGAACATGCACTATTATACAAGTTTTACATTTGACATTTTTCATTTAGTGTCATTTTCTACTTCTAAGATATCTATAGAAACGGTTGACAAGTAGGTTTACAGTTTTTTTTTATCAACATAATTGACATCTATTATTTTGTGTTTTCAAAGAGGAATATGGAGTTGACAATTAAAAAACATAGCAGTTATTTTTTAAAAGTCCATATTAATCAGAAATAAGTTAAAATCACTTTGGGTGTGTAATATTCAGATCTAGGTCAAATTCAACCTGTTTGACATTTACAAACTTTATTATTCTTTAAAAAAAATTAACACAAAAATATTGTATATTTTTTATTTTTCTGCTGATTTATTTTTGTATTTTTCTTTTGAAAACACAAATCATATACACATGCCTTAGCCTTAAATATTTGTCTTGCTTTATCAATAAGTACTTTCTCAGAACATCATTTTTCCCAATGGAAATGCCCAAAAAGGTAACCATACTTATTACATAGAGGTTATAATAGACTCACACTCGCAGGGAAAGCTTTTGATACAATTGGTAATAATTGTTGAAAAATAAGGTTGCGTCATTTATAAAATATAACATTTAAAGTGCTTGATTTTCAAGTAGTTTAGGACAGAGACTGAATGAATAAATAAAAATGAAAGAAATTCAGAAGTGTGCAGATTAATAGAAGTTGAGTACAATAAAAAAATGTGGCCTTAATGTTAAGTATGAGGTATGTATAAGGATGTGTAATAGGAACATGGTACAATATATTATATTGGGTCACTAATTTGATGAAGAATACATATTTAATGCTATTATATTTAGTACTTGTGTATATTTACAGTGCAGGTTTTATATTTGCAACAGAGTATTCCTACAATGTGGGATCACTAGTAAAAGTAATGTTCATACTTCTCCAGAATAACATAAAATGTTAATAAAAGGTTTCAATATCCAAAGTTAATTCTGTCTATCTATGCTATTATTTTGCCAAATAAATGCCAGATAACTGTATATCAGTCCTGTAACATACAAATCAATGTAAACCAAACTGTGTACTGTGGTGTAGTGGAAATGACTAGGTCATGTACGTCTCAAACTATTGTCCTTAAATAATTGACATATTTGTAATTTACTACTTCCATTTAACATTTAACGTTACTTTTTACTCCTACTCCGGGAAACATTGTACTTTTTACTCTACTACAATTATTCAACAGTCACAGTAACTTTGTTAAAACATGCTGATATGGTATAATAAGGCAGTATTCATCTGCAGTATTTAAAGTATCTACATTTGGTCAACATCGACAAAGTACAAAATCCTGTATAAAAACAGGATAATATAATACCATAATAAATATAATACTGTAAAGATCCATTCTGCACACCGAGTACTTTACATTTTGATTCTTGAAGTACATTTAGCTGATAATTTATTTTTACTATTTAAGTACTTTTACTTGTTGTACTTTAAGTGTATTCTGATGCTAATACTTTTGTACTTTACTTAAAGGAGAGGTGTCATGGCCATTTCCACTGATCATAATTCCATTGTTGAGGTATACTACAGTAACATAGATTTATACTGTGCATTTTTCCAAACTCACATTGGTTTCTCATACAGCATCTCTGTAAACTACGTGTATTCACTGAATTTCACTCTCTGCCTTTAACGGCTCGTTGTAGCTCCAATAGCTCCAGCCCCCACCCTCCCTGTGAGCACAGTGTGCTCTGATTGGTCGGGACGTTGTGAATCGCGCTGAGCTCCGTGGAGGTGTTAGGCTTGTTTGAGACAAGCGAGACCTGCGCAGACCTGCGCAATTGCGATCAACGTCTTGCTCGTGCGTTGCATGATGGTTAGTCATTTTGTCCGACTTGCTCAGGAGGCTCGCCTACATGAGACGTTGAAATCTCGCGGGACAAAGACGCCCGCAGACTTGAGAGCGAGGCGCAGCGAGGCGGCGCAGTTTCTCTCCCCGGGCTGCGGAAGCGAAATGCTTGATGGGAAACGACTCGCTGGTATCTCGAGCTGAGCGCTCATTGGTGGGTTTTACCCCGTGCTGGAGATGAAACTCTCCATTGGCTCGGCAAAAGTGTGTTGTTGTTTTGTGTCAGTTTTACGTCGCCACTTCCATTCACATTTTTCATCATTGTTCCACAATGTTTATCATCATGACATTAATATCTATATATTTTATACTATACTTGCACTGCTTACCGTTGTCATACTTTATATATCTTAGCATATTCATACAACACACTGTTCATACTAGGCTAGGCTACTGTGTATATAGTGTATTCATACCCCTCACTGTTTTTTCATCATTCAATTCATTCTATATTTTATTCTGTAGATTGTGTACATTACTTTTCACTTTACTGCTTTATGCACTCCTGGTTAGAAGCTAAACTGCATTTCGTTGTCTCAGTACCTGTAATCTGTGCAATAACAATAAAGTTGAATCTAATCTTGAGCAGGAACAAATGTATTTACTTAGTACATATCTGACATTAACGATTAAACACATTTGTCCATTCTTTATCAATCAATCAATCAATGTTTATTTATATAGCCCAATATCACAAATGTTACATTTGTCTCAGTGGACTTCACAGTTTGTACAGAATATCAGTATGACAATACGACACCCTCTGTCCTTACGTTTCACATCATACAAGGATACACTTCCAGAGAAAAACCCACAGTTTAAAGGGGAAATGGGAGAAACCTCAGGGAGATCAACAGAGGAGGGATCCCTCTCCCAGGACGGACAGACGTGCAATAGATGCCGTGTGCATTTATAAATGCAAACCGAGTCAAGCCGACTCCGGAGGTGGCAGTATGCACCTTAAAGTTGTTTGAAATCCGCCAAAAAACCGAGAGAAGAAGAAGAAGAAGAAGAAGCCGACTCCGAGCTGTCCGACTTCAGGCGAGCTTTTTGAGACCTCCCCCGGCTGCGATCGGCTATTCTCGTCTACTTTTGAGGCGAGCCGCAGCTCGTCTCAAACAAGCCTGTTGTTTCCTTGTTTAGGATACATAGCGAAACACAGCCAAACTCATCCTGAGCACACACAAACTCACATCCGAAGTAAAAACAATAAGTGTGGCTTGATATTGAGTAAGAAAAAGGTTGATAAACGCTGTGAGAATGGGTCTGCAGAGAATTTCGCCGCGATCCCAACTGTCTGTTATCAGCCTGCAGCCAGGGAGGAGAAATCAGCAGAGCTGCCTGCTCCCTGCACACAGATGTGTGTGTGAGGAAGTCCGTGGATTGGTCAATTTGGCAACGTAACGGCTTCGCGGACATAACGTAATGGCTCCACGGATTGGTCCATTTCGTTCCGGGTACGGCTTGACATCATGCCGTCCCGGAAGAATCAAATGGACAATGACGTATCTCCAACGAGGCGTTTTGGGGAGGTATTTTCTGTGTTAGAGTTTTACTCGCTATAGGGTGTACTTTGAGGGTTTTGACTCTGCACACCGTTTACATGCATAAAAACCTTCATAACACACAAGGGGACGGGTAATAACTGGAAAAGCATGACACCTCTCCTTTAAAGGGGACCTATCATGCAAAATGCACTTTTGTACGTCTTTTATACATGAATATGTGTCCCCGGTGTTCCAGGGAACTCACCAAGTGTCAGAAAACACAACCCTCTCTCTTTTCCTCCATACCCAAATCTCTAAAAAAGGGGCTGCAACGGATCTGATAAAAACTGATCCAGATTTGAACACTGTCCTGACGTCAGGACAGTGGCGCTACGGCTATTGGGCCAACTCCACCAATCAGGAGGAGACAGCCACGGCCATTGCCGTTCGAAAGCGCTGGAGACGATGTAGTACATATGCCAGGCCTGTAGATGGTGCTGTTCTCACTGAATCTGCCCTTACAAAAACAGAGCAAAAAAATGTCAAATTGAACAAAATGAGGCATGGCTAAAATGCATGATCTGTTTGGTATTTTGAAAAAAAAAAAGTATAAATATGCCTTATATATATAGGTATTAGGGGTGTAACGGTTCACAGAATTCACGGTTCGGTATGTACCTCGGTTTGGGGGTCACGGTTCGGTACGGGTTCGGTACAACAAGAAAAAGCAAAAAAAGGTCCCAAATGCATAATTCCAGGTTTGTTTTTTATTTATTTTGAACAGTAGTGCAAGTTTCAGTATACAAATAAGGAACTCTAACATTTTGAATAATTAACTTTATTACACAGTTAAAAACAAACCACAACCAGTACCACACACACTCAGATGGCCATATTATCTATAATGGCTGATGTCAAACAAAAAGGTTTCATCAAGCTGTACAATTAAAAAGAATGTCTTGAAAATATTACAAATAAATAATAAGATAGTGTTTCAATCACTTTCAATCACAATCAATAAAAGCCGGGGTCCTCTACTATTGCACTACTATTGAAAAACATATGCCAAAAGCTTCCGTTATTTATTTTGGTCTCTCGGCTTTCATGTCTATTGGCTTCTTAAAAACAGCGGGGATAAGCTGTTGAACTGCTGTTGTCTTTTTCCGGGCTCAGGTGATTACTA